AGTTAGGAGTTAGGAGTTAGTAGTTAGGAGTTAGTAGTTAGTAGTAAGTAGTATGTAGTAAATAGTAAGTAGTAGTGGCAAAACGTGACCGCGGCTCTTGTTCTGATGTACTACAGATCTTGAAGGCTAGGCCGCTAGGCTAGGCCTGGGCGCCTTGCTTGGCCTTGCTTGTGCTTTTGTCTTTAGGGACCAGCCGAGTCCTTTGATGGGCATGCTCAAGGGCGACATCTGTTGAAATCCGGACCCAAATATAGAAGAACCAACGTGGAACAATGTGCACGTACCAATACCATGAGTCTTCGCAATCCATAAAATAAATAGGGCTTTGAGTCCACGTGCATGTCGCGATGGTTTTGCATCAAACCACGCGCCAGACACACCATCTAATATACATCCAGGACTCCCCAGGCCAGACGCAAGTGCCATCCGTCCAAACGACGAGCACCATGGCAGGTGCGTGGCACGCGCCATCAACGGCGCTAGTGGTGGCACTGTGGGCATTGCGAACGCCTACATTGCGGATGTCACCAATAGCAACTATGGCCGCCATCAGAGCAGGTCCCATGTGCTCCGAGTAAGAATGTTATCATGGGATAATTTGGGGGGGGGCAGTTTGGGGTGCTGAAACGCTTCCCGGTGGAATCACTGCGACTGGTGCGACTGGTTTGTTGGGTGATGTGCAGTGCGGTGCGGTGCGGTGGTGACGGGTGAATCATTTGCAGCCCTGGAGAGATTGAGATACAAGGCCAATTATGCCAAGGCTCTCATGGCCAGATTTGCTTCCCCAACACACACATACCAACATTATCATATATGATCCAAGATTAATCGGTATTCCCATTGTCAAGCAGTTCAGGATCCATTCCTCACTGACCATACTTGAGCTTCTTCGGACCAAATCATTCAGATTCAGAAGTCCCAGCCTTGCAGATTGTCAGATGCTCGATCCATCTCGATCCAAAGATCCGGCAGACGGACCCAGTCCGGGCCCATGTCGCCCAGTGGCCCAGGTATAGAGAAGCCCACCTACATCTCCTACCTCCAAGCATGTCCGGAAGGGAGGGTCGAGGACGCCGGTTCTGTCCCTCTGAAGAGGGGAGGTGAACACATGACAGTTTGAGAATCCACCATGTCTTCGGGGAGTCACCACGGATCCTTCATGGAAGAACTTTGTACAAATTCATCTTGCTGAAGCATGTTTGAAGAGCGATGCCAGGATCAAGTGGCCAGCGTCAACCTACTTAGGGGTAAATGCTTCTTTCATGGGTTTGGTATCGTTTTGTTGGCCATACCAAACAGGCCGCAGCAGTTCCACTGGGAGCTCACCAGGTCACTCGGTAGAGTCGGTAGAAGTTCATGTTGACGTCGTGTCACGTCGCATCCGCGGGTGCCCGTGGTCACGTTGTTGTCCCCGGTCGCAAACTAGATGGCGTGAGTCGGAGTGAAGTTCATGTCAAACTTGAACAGGAACATACAGGAACTATAGGACTCACAACAGCAACAAAAGCTGGCAGCAGGAGCAGCGGACCCCTCGGCGGGAGACCAATGCGAGCTGTTTTGGGGGATCTCGCAACCTCAAAACTCAAAAAGTTATATAACAACTTGTCAAGTCCTTTTTCCACATGTGCTTTGGGCGATCCCAGAACAGCCATCTAAATCCAAGCTTTCATGATTCATTCATGTTCATCCATTCTTCCTGATCCTCATCCTCATCCAACAAACCATCGTAAAATCCATCCATCCTCGCATCACCAGGTAACTCGGTGGGCATCATCATCGGTCCCGCCTTGGGTGGAGCCCTCAGTCGCTGGGGCTTCGCCCTGCCCTGCTACGTCTCCGCTGCCTTGAGTGGCCTCTTGGACCGATGGCGCCGGTTGGTCTCGGGCACCTCTTTTGAAAGGAGGAACCAGTGCCAGGGCACATATGAAGTGTAGGACTTGCACATGAACTTTTGACTCCATTGACTACCACAGGATTTCCAAACTTTGCGGCCAAAGAGTGGTTTGGAATACACCTCCAAGCGGGCCCAGGTCGGTGACCTGCTGAGGGTTCTATTCCTTGGTGCTTGGTTGGTTTTGGACACCCGTCCAGTGAGTGGACATGAGTGGACCATGGGCACCACCATCCTCCATAGGAACTGCTGGTTTGGGTGCTTGATTTCTGGTTCTTTCTCGGCAGTGAGAGCTGAGCAGTGTGAGTGGCAGTGCAGGAGCAGTGAGAGCAAAGAAGTGGCTTGAGAAATAAGAGCTGAGAGTTGTGTGAGCAGTCAGCAGTGATCAGTGTGAGTGGTGAGAGTGGTAGGAGCACAGCAGAGTGCAGCAAGTAGTGAGTGGTTTGCCACTCACACTACTCTCAGTCTCACTCCAATACTCTGCTCTTGCTGCTCTCTCACTGCACTCAATGCTCACCACTTCAAGCTGTCACTGCTCAGATCAGTTGAGAGTGAGAGTGGTCAAAGTAGTGAGTCAGAACAGTGTGAGCAGTGAGTGGTGCGTGTGAACAGTGAGAACAGCAAGAGCAAAGTGGTGGAAGCACATGTGACACATGATGACACATGCGTCGTTCTTCCCAAAATATCCCAAAATGGATGTGGTGGGAAGAGGAAGAGGACAAGCAATTAAACTATATGTAGGAGCAATGGATCATGGGATCATGACAGTCATGATTTCTGGTGATGATTTCTTGTAAAGCTCTCATTTTGAGCATTTCTTGTGCTATTCTTGACACATCGGTCAGTGAGCTCTTGTGTGGCACTCCCTCAATTGAGCTAGCTGCAGCTAGACTGCCCAGTGGATTGCTCTCCCAAATCCCATTTTCCCACCCATCGGCTCACCCAGTTTTCCATTGGCGACTGGATGTGATGTGACTTGTTCTTTTTCCGTGCCACCCGCCCATGCAGGGCTGAACTTCCTTGTGGCCCTCTTCTTCCTGGTGGAGCCCCGATCTTCCCAGCGAGAGGCCCCCCGGATTTTCTCATGGTTGGACTCGGGGGTCTTCCTCGAGGAATTTGGGATCTCCATGGTCCAATGTGGAGCATTCCTGGATGCCATAGAATGAGGAACATCAAGTGACGACAGGTGATGGAAATTGTTGACATTCCATGACAAAAATAGAGGATCTGCAGCTGGACTTTATGGAGTTACCAAGGGATGTTGGAAGGGGATAGTGGGAAGTTCCATTTCCGCCATGTAGTCCAAAAACCCGATACCGGGAATTGACAACTCTTTTCCATATTTGTTCGTCTTCGCAGTTTTTCCCTCAACAACTTGGGGTACCCAGGCCCTGATTTGTTGCCTGCCCGGCGTCCCCAACTCATGTAGATGAGGATATAGGTTCTAAATGTTTCAAGGTTAAGTTATGTTGTTCTGTGCATGGGGTCTTATGTCTTTGACGCCATGTTTTGAATTTGAAACTGAACCATTGGTGTACGGGTGTAAATAATGTTATATAAACCATTATAAACCTTGGGATCCTTTATAATCATCCTACACTGCTCCACAAAAATGGCCGCCTCATATGACGATACCACAATACATACAAACCTAGGAAGTCACCAGGTAACCCTGCTAGTGGAAGTAACCGCACCCCTTCGTCCGACACCCGCCGCACCGGCACCTTTGATGGCGGCATGACCGCTCAGAGACCACCGAGCTCGACGTCGCTTCGAAACCAAGGCAGCTGTGAACTTGACACATCCCACACCTGATGAGGGCGCACAAGAAGGAACCACTGGCACTGGCATTCACGAGAATGTCCACAGCGCGGTGGGCAGCAATGTGCCTTCGGCTGACACCACGACACTTCGCAAGAGGGGGAGGAGTATGCGTAGAGTAATGGAGGAGTGGCTTTCTGCACTGTATTACGGATTAAACATGGTTTCGCTTTTACATATTCTACTTGCCGAGTAGCCCAGGTATGACATGTCATCATTTTCTTCAGCTCTGCTCGGCATGATGTTCGATCATGCAACACCAAGTTGTTGAAGCACCGTGCATCTAGTGATATTTACTGTATAGTTGTGTGATCCAAAATTGTGTTGGAATCCTACTAAATCACACATTTGAACCACACCACCGACATGTCCTCGTTTGGGACCCTTTCAAAACCACTCAATGCATCTCAATGCTGTGCGTCAACGGTACCAGAACGCAGACGCTGAAGTCCCCTGATGCGGAAACGCGAAATCCGCGGTCTCGAGGCCCGTTTGCGGACGCGCGCCTCATCGGTGGACACAGGGTTAGAGTCTTGGATGTGCGGGGCGCGGATTTGTTTTAGTTGTTTTGTTATTGATGGCATGGTCAGTGGCATGGTGGCATGGTCCTCGATGTATTTGGATCTGGGGACAGTCTGGTACAGTGAACCAGTGAAGCAGCCCAGCCATGCCCAGCCACAGATTTGATGAACACCTGCCGATGCCCTTCGTTTTGGTCTCCTTTCTTTGCCCCAAAAGTGACCACTACGCCCAACGCGTGTTCAAACCAAAGGAATCCCAAGCACGTTCGGGCGCCAACAAGCCCTGCGACGCCAAAGGACCACCGAAGGTGAGTCAACCGGATTACGACACTTACTTGACCTTTGGCTTGGGGAACCCAACAAAAGAGTACCAGGACATCTGAGGATACTGAAATTGGACATCTGAGGATTACATCCCCTGCTCAGCTGGTTTGCTCTTCGCTGCGGGTTTCCTTTTCATGCTGGGCTTCGCCTCCTTCGAAAGCGTCACAGGCGAGAACCGGTCGCCCAGTCGCCGAACTCGGAGACACTTCGCGTCGATCTCCGGTGGGATCCGACGTCCGTTGCAAGAGGAAGACTGTTTGGTTGAGAAGTGTAGCTGTCAGTGGTTTGGAAGAGCCAGGGGTACTTAGTGAACTGATTTCAATGGCGTAAGTAGTATGCATGAGGCAGCGGGAAGCCTCAGATGTTTTGAAACAGGCAAATAGTTCGGCTGAGGCCTTTTGGTGATTCCTGCTTTCAAAGAAGTCTTGATTCCTCTTTGGTATGTGCATAGTGTTGATTGGGGTCCGAACACTTTCTCTTTGAGAGATGCCTATGCTAAACTTGTGTGTTGGTGCATTCCTGAATTTAGCAGACAAAGCAATTTAGTGCCAAACCAGCTGCAATTGCCGGCAATGCCAGGATACTACTTGATGGACAGGTTGTTCAACCACAACAAAGAAACCAGCGGGCAGTTCTATGGCCTGCTTTTCACAATAGTGCCTAAGCTGCCGACCTCATTGGCAGACAGAATGCCTGAAGATGAGTAAGGGAATATTAATTTGGTCAAGAGAATAGCAGAATAGCTGGCCTGAAAATGAAATTATCCTTGGGTCAATCATGATGCTAATGAACTGCGAAGTCTTGCGTTTTCCAAGAACTGTGTCGCATGAGGTAAAGAGTGCACTTGAACATGATGGGCTCGTCTCAGTATACTAGGACCTCAGAACCAGGCTTTTGGCTGTCGATTTTGTTCTTTTTTCGCTGGGAGTCTTCTTGGGTTGCCTGACACACGCCTGATTTCATCATTCATCATGATGGTGGCCCTTTTGGTTTGGAGAAAGCATGTTCTAGTTGGACAAGGCTCAAAACTTGTTCCATCCAACCCGCACAAAGGAGAACATCGATTCGAACCCACTTGGATCCTTGCGTCTTAATTGGACCTCGTCCAGTTCAGGTGTTTCGGTGTTCATGTGGATTGAGTTTGAAAGGCTGAAGAGCTTTGCCGATGTTTCAAGATGTTTCAAGCAACATTTGGTGGAGCAGGACGGGAGATACATAGAATCTAAGCCTGGTCCCTTCCTGGTCCCTTTTAAGTTTCTTTTCTCACTGTGAGCGCCCAGCAAACCGATTGGTATCTATTTGTACCCAGCAAACCTACTAGTACTGCTAGGTGGAGCTTTGTTGTCAGTATAAGTGTAATAGCGGGTACAGTGCCCAGAACGGCGGTCTTTGTAGAAGTAAGTTCCTCTGCTTGTCAAATTGAGGCCGGGATAGCCATGCTCCTCACCGCGCTCTTTGCACCTTGCAAAGATGGTGTTTACGATTTTTGCCGTTGAGCCTTAAGGGGGTCATTGGTTGTGTGAAGAGATTTAGAGGTTTGACGATGGTGAAGAGGGTGACAAGTGAATGACAAGCAATTAGAAGTGTGAAGCGAACCATGAATCAAGCATGTGTCCTTCGTCCTTCGGTGGTTCCATCGATCCATTTGGAACTCCCAAGGCATGGGTTTGGTCGTCGGGGTTTTCAACTCCTCACAGGTGGGCCCATCACCTCCGCGCCCCGAAGCCCCGACCTGAAGCGTCTTCCGCGCCCAGATCTACAAGCCCCTGCTGGGCTGCATCGGCGAGTTCCCCACCGTGGCCCTGGGGGGCGTCTTCCGTCGCTCGGGAGTGGAGGGTCCGCCCCGAGGGGTCGAAGTGACTTGATGTCAAGGCTTAACGTCAAAGTCTCAAGAGTTGGAAAACACCCTGAGGCCTGAGGGTGTGGACCGCAAGGGGGGGAGATTTGGTCTCTAGATGGCATGGTTTTCTTGGTGCTGGTCGTGCTGTCGCCCCCAGCTGATTCGGGGTTTTGGTCTGCTGGATCGATTGAGGGCTTCCCCGTTGGTGTAGACGTCTCGTGATCCTCAGACTTGGTGAAAACTACTACGTTAGCTGCTGCTTTGCAACTCACGCTGCGCAACTGGGATCTTGCGCTGCGCAACGGAGTTTTGCGGCAACTCATAACCAATAATTATGAGATAATATGTGAATGGGTTTGTTTGTGGACCCGGTTGCCTGTAGATGCTTTTGATTCTTCTGTCTAATTGCATGGGATAGTTGGCGTTCAGGGGTTCAAGGGTTCGAAACATGCCCTATAGGAAACACACAGGGTACGATTGCATTTTTGGCCGGCACCACAATGCTTTTGACAGCTGGCCAAGCATGCATTCGTACCTTGTGTGTTTCCCGCACATGTTCCAACTTGGCCCAGGGAAAATGCATCCGGCAACATCTTCCTGTTTAAACATCTTAGGCAGCTGGCACCTTGCTGCATGATGTTTTTTCCCGAATGCGTAGCGAAGGGTTCTCGTTTAACTCTGGGGGTCTGGGGGTAGAGCCTTGTTCGCGACCCGTTGTTTCTATGTTCGCAACCGTTCGCAGGTGTCCGCAGTAGAGCGCTAAGGCGCTGCCATTGGGGGGAAGCTTTTGCAAGTGACTTTTCATGGATGTGTCACGTGTCAGTTTGCAACGCTATTCCATTGTGGTTTGCTTGAAAATGACATGTCGCGCAAGAAGCGTGATGCATTTCGCTGCACGCAGTGGTTTGAGAGATCCGCAGTTTACTGCGCAGTTCCATTGGGATTAGCGTTTGGAGAGTCGTGTTTTTGGGGTGTTGGATGTGGCCGTGCCATTGGGATTTGCGTTTCAGGGTGTGGCATCGAAGCTCTGTTTTCGTGACAAGTCTCAGCTGAAATGGCGATTTTGGTGGATGGGAGTGTGCTCAGAACGGGTCGAAATCATTCTAAACGTGTGGTGTGGTGCAAATTTTGTTGAAGCTCACGTGAGATGATATTGTCACTTTTCGTGGCAGGCACAGTACTTTGTGCTGATTTTGACGTGTGGAAGTGCGATTTTCGTGGCAGGCGCAGGAAAACGTGAGGTTGCGAGGTGTGACGGAGGTGACATTTCGTGGCAGGCGCAGTACTTTGTGCGCGTTAGACGTGTGGATGCGGAAAGGTTCGTGGCAGGCGCAGGGAATCGTGAGGTCGTGAGTTGTGGTAGAGGTGAATGTCGCTGTCACATTGGGATTGGCGTGTGAGCGGGTATTGCTTGGAGGGGCTGGACTTGCGAAACTGCTTGGGAGGGCTGCGTGATGTGTGTGCTCCGATGGGTGTTTCCGCTTGACTTTTGGAGGAAGTCTCGTACGAAATCCTCGTTTTGCCGACTTTGACATGTGAGTTTTGGAGGAAGTCTCATACGAAACGCTCGTTTTGGAGACTTGACACGTGACTTGTGGAGGAAAAGTCTCGTACGAAACGCTCGTTTTGGAGACTTGACGTGTGACTTTTGGAGGAAGTCTCGTACGAAGCGCTCGTTTTGGAGACTTGACGCGTGACTTTTGGAGGAAGTCTCGTACGAAACGCTCGTCTTGTGCAGCCTCGAAGCGTGACTTCTGGAGGACGTCTCGTACGAAACGCTCGCAGGACTGCTTCTAGTGTGCCACAAGAGTGTCCTACAAGAGTGTCCTACAAGAGTGTCCCACAAGAGTGTCCCACAAGAGTGGTCCTACAAGAGTGTCCCAGAAGAGTGTCCCACAAGAGTGTCCTATAAGAGTGTCCCACAAGAGTGTCCTACAAGAGTGTCCCATAAGAGTTTCCTACAAGAGTGTCCCACAAGAGTGTCCCACAAGAGTGTCCCACAAGAGTGTCCTACAAGAGTGTCCCACAAGAGTGTCCCACAAGAGTGTCCCACAAGAGCGTCCCACAAGAGTGTCCAAGAGTGTCCCACAAGAGTGTCCCACAAGAGTGTCCTATAAGAGTGTCCCACAAGAGTGTCCCACAAGAGTTTCCTACAAGAGTGTCATACCAGAGTGTCCCACAAGAGTGTCCCACAAAATTGTCCCACAAGAGTGTCCTACAAGAATGTCCTACAAGAGTGTCCCACAAGAGTGTCCCACAAGAATGCCCCACAAGAGTGTCCTGCAAGAGTGTCTCACAAGAGTGTCCCACAAGAATGTCCGACAAGGGTGTCTCATAAGAGTGACCCACAAGAGTGTCCTATAAGAGTGTCCCACAAGAATGTCCGACAAGAGTGTCCCATAAGAGTGACCCACAAGAGTGTCCTATGAGAGTGTCCCACAAGGAGTGTCCTACAAGAGTGTCGTGTAAGAGTGACCCACAAGAGTGTCCCAGAAGAGTGTCCTACAAGAGTGTCTACAAGAGTGTCCCGCAAGAGAGTCCCACAAGAGTGTCCTGCAAGTGACCCACAAGAGTGTCCTACAAGAGTGTCCCACAAGAGTGTCCCACAAGAGTGTCCCAGAAGAGTGTCCTACAAGAGTGTCACACAAGAGTGTCCCACAAGAGTGTCCTACAAGAGTATCCCACAAGAGTGTCCCACGAGAGTGTCCTACAAGAGTGTCCCACAAGAGTGTCCCACAAGAGTGTCCCACAAGAGTTTCCTACAAGAGTGTCCCACAAGGAGTGTCCTACAAGAGTGTCGTGTAAGAGTGACCCACAAGAGTGTCCTACAAGAGTGTCTCACAAGAGAGTGTCCCATAAGAGTGTCCTACAAGAGTGTCCCACGAGAGTGTCCTACAAGAGTGTCCCACAGGAGTGTCCCACAAGAGTGTCCTGTAAGAGTGTTCCACAAGAGTGTCCTACAAGAGTGACCCACAAGAGTATCCTACAAGAGTGTCCCACAAGAGTGTCCTACAAGAGTGTCATTTGGACATATGTATATAGCTTTTCGAACCTGTTTGCATTCGGGTTCGTGGGCTCCATCTTGTTTTTTCCCAGAACTGATATGATATATGTATGGACGAGAAAAACCCACTGCGTTGCGAACATGCGTTCTGCAACACCGTTCCTCGTTGGGCGTTGCAGGGCGAGGCTCCTAAAGCCATGGTTGGTTACCGATTAAGGCCCCAGCGACAAAGTGAGCCTAATCAAGAGCTAAAGTCTATAATTAGACACCTTAGGAAACCATTGGACCCAGATCTTTGTAAACTTACAGCGAATTGAGTCACATGCTATAATGCCTTGCCCCAATGACATCATGGCCAAAGAAATTCGATCGTTTCGCACGTGTTTGTTCATTATATTGTGGGGGTATACATGAGGTATAGGTTGACTAGGTTCACACGTCGCTCAGTAAACTCGCAGTCGCAAAGTAGCTGCAGCAAGCCATGCAGGATCCTACACGATTCAGGTCAGAACACGCTTCACCTTGAGACCTGCTGTTTTGACACGCTGAGACATGCCGAGAACCATCGTCGCATATCACCAAACATTCACTGTAACACTCTGTATGACAATGTTTGCTTGACTATGTCACCATGTCACCATATCATGATGTATTGCATGGGATTTCGCTATATTATAGTTGGATTGATTCCCTCATAACTCATGCCAACCCAACCAAAAAACGCAACAACAGTTGTCCCAGGTTGCGCGGGCTTCTTGGGGATGTCCTTCGCCACCAGTCCGGTGCTGTTTCTTGGCTTCAACAGATGGGTTTCTTGAGATGAATGGACACCTGGGAGAACAAACCATGGGATTTCATCCTGTTGTATGGTATGGACCAGTGTGCATCCAAGCAGGAATGACAGACCTGTGGGGAGGTCCGCCACTTCAGCAGGCCCAAGCTTCACACTTTTTTGTACAGATTTTTGAGTGGACATGGCAAAGAAGCGTCCTGCTGCTTCCTCGGAACAAGAAAATGCCCGCCTGCGCCGGGAAAATGCCAAGCTCAAGAAGGACAATAAGGCGCTGCGGGGGGAAGACTCCAAGAAGAAGCCCCCGGTCGGACCGAAAGGTTATGCCTACGTGACCGCCGTGGTGGGAGGCAAAGAGTATTCGGTCAGTTATGAGATGGAGGACTTCGAGAAGAACTCGGCAGATGGCCTTTGTTGCACTGTCACTGAAACCATGCGTGACGGCAAGGACATCGAGTTGTTCTTGAAAGGTGGAAAGAAAGTGAATCTCAAGAAAAACTTTAAGCAAAATGGGATCACGCCGAATAGTTATGTGTATGGAAGATACACAGGCAAGACTTTCTGGGATGCCGACTACTGATGGGCTGAAGAAAAGGCTAAGACCTGGGTCCTCAGCTCATTTCAGGGCACGTGCAGCTTGCCTTTGGCTGGCTTTTCAGCTTGTTGGAGCGACTCTGATGCGAGAAAAAGGGCTGCAAGGCCAAGAGGAGATACAATGGCGTGTGTTCACGTCCCATGGTGTGTGGTCACTCATCAAGACAGCTGTTTGCGGGGGTTTGAAGTTGGTGAAGCAAGGAGTCTCAGTTTTTGCCCACAAAGTGGAGCTCTGAAAGAACAGCCACAGGAACTTGCCTTTTTTGACCACGTCAGTTTCTTCCTCAAGACCCTGCTAACCCCTGCCTGACCAAACCGCTTTTCTGCGTTGTTGCTGTTTTTTTCACTGGCTCTGTGAGGTTCGCTTGTGCAGCGATCGTGCAAGTGGTAGGAGGAAATCTCATCTCTCCGACCACATCCTCCCTTTTGACCACGATTTGCTCGAAGAAGATCTATGGCAAGGCTCTAGGCCGGTAGCCCGCACGAGCCGGGCCGGGGGGCCAGGGGGATGAGGATCTATCATACTCTATCATTTTTCTATACAAGTCTTTAAACAGGTTTAAACATGTTTGGAGTTTGTATTCTTTTATTAACACATGTATCATCGAAGCTTGCATGGTAGTTTTATCAAAGAAAAGACGGGATAGACTCTCGGATAGACAAGACTACAACCCACTTCACCACTTTCCAGGGAAAGTATAGGCTTTGAGGGATGTGTGCTGTGCGTGGTATTGCGTATATAAAATTTCTATGTATTTCTGTCTACCCCAGTTTTCGACTCTTTGGCTGTTGGCTGTTGGATCCGCCTTTTTCTATCGGATCCCACCATATAGCTCACCACAGCTCACCAGCCATCCGTGCTGAATTGATTTCTCCAAAAAAACAAACGCCCTGGAGAGGTCAGCCCTTCAGGCTTCGTTCGTCGAAACCACCCTCGCCCCAGAAATGTCCCCGTCCCGTGCGCAGGCTACCAACAGTCCTTTCAGTCGGTGGCCCGGATCTTCGCCCCCACCATCTTCGGGTCTCGTGGCGTCGTGGGACGTTTGTCTCGTGGCGTCGTGGTGTTCACGACCGGAAGGATCTGGACAAATACGCTTCTGCTGATAGGCTTTTCGAGGAGACCTTTTGACGGTTCTACTATACTATTCATAAACAATATATTACATTATAGTGTTTATTGTGTTAATCGTTCCAGTCAACAACATCTTCGATTAGAACTGAAGCTATAGCAAGTTTCTCCGGCCCTGGCTGACACAATCAGCAAACAAAACCCCAACTATATACGGTACACCAAGCACAAAGTTTTGGCCATGACTCGTCTATAGGCTTTTCAATGCAAATTTTATAATAGCCATTGGAAGGCCATATGACCGATGGCCATTTGGTGAGTTCCAAGGGAGAGGTGGAAGAAAAGAACAACAGACAGCACCCTCAGAATCCCTCAGATATATTTCCATGTCAATTGCTTTTGCACTTTGGAACACATGGTGCGGTTGCTTTTGTCTTCGCTGCGCTCTTTTTCACTCACCCTACTATGACCATGCCCTCTTTGAAGGAAACACATGGCAACTGGTGAGTTGGACAATTCCAGCCCTTCTACCAGTTGGATTGATGTTTGCAGACACGTGATCGGAACATGGACGTTTGCGGGTCCCTTGGTGGCGGGGAAGATGGTCCACATGCCAAGACAGACCATGACCAGCAACGAAACACCAGCCAATGAACTTACTACAATGCTGCATGCAACTTACTTAGAATATGTTGGAGTGATTCAAGGACAAGGTCGGACAAGGTGTTTGTTGATTTCTTGTCTTCAGACGTTTACTTGTCTTGGTCGTTTGTGAGATCTTTCGTCTGCTTCAGACGCCCCCGTGGCATCGAAGTTTCGACTGAACGCCGAAGGTATTTGTACGACCATTACGATCAGCGCCTCACCTTTTGGATCAATGCCGCCACCACAGCGACTCGGCTGCGCAGGTTTTGGGTGAACACTCGGCTGCTTCCACGGAAGAGTGGATCACCAAAGCACGAGACATGAGGATTCAGAAAGGACTCGGCTCATAGGAATTTGGGACCCGGCCACTTGACCGTAAGAGCTTGGGCGAGGCTGTTCGCTCAGGTCTCGGGTATCCATTGGCATTCATGTTTAAAGTCAATGTCATCAACCAGATCCATGGAATGAAGGAGAGTAGTTTCCGAATGAGCGGCTGGACGCTAAGAGTTGAAAACCAGCCGGTCAGGATGAATCATTTGTCAATCAGGTTTGAACATGTTTGAACATGCTTTTGTGACCTCTTCGGGGGAACAGGGCGAGTCAACGGGCACGGAACGATTGCATCCATTTGGATTGTGTAGCACGGCTGGGAAAGGAATGCACAGATAGCGCAGATAGACTAGTGGCTGGTAGGATGGTAAGGGTGTGAACCATAATTTGAGCTGGATTGTTAGTCACTCTACGATTTTACAACGACGAGTAGCAGCGAACAAGCTTATACACTGCTGTTCACTGCATACATGGATTGTTCCATTGTTAAGTGACAGTGGCTGTCAATGTGTTTGGACAATTGAGTGAAGCATAGTTTGCCATGCCATATCGCCTACCACTATTATCAACTCAAACGAGACAGACCATCAATTACAAGTTGCACCCTGGTAGAACATACGCGAAGATAACACAAAAAGCAGCAAAACCTTAAACCAGTCCAGACAGTTTCCCTCAACTCCAAGAGGAGATGTCGATGCCCTTCCAGCCTTCCGCCCACCGGACCACGGTGGACCGGACGTCCAGGTCATCGCGGTGCCGCTCATCTTGGCGGTGCCAAGGCCTGCGAGCCCCATGAATGCCCAGGAGCGGTCGAAGGGACGCCAACGGTCGAAGAAGAGGACCTGCTATGGTACGTCCATTCTGAAGGGCTTTTGAGTTGAGAGGAACCTTCAAAGAAGTGTAGCACCCGAATTCATGGATGTCTTGGAGTTCCTGGTTGTTGTGTTGCTTGGGGGGTCAGGGTTGATGCTCTATTTGGGTCCAAATGAGCCTTAAAGCATCCATCCGCTGCCAGGAAGTGGAGCAGAATTGTGATAGCCACCCGGCCGAAATCCTCTCGCGGTTAGGCGGTGGATCAGCGGTGAGGGGAGGGAGACATGGATCACAGGATTCCTGAACCTACTAGCGATGGCTTCCAACCTGCTAGCGATGGCCTCCAACTGTAGCATGAGACTGACGATACTGGTTGGTGTGGAAAAAAACACACAAACTAAGAAGCCTAGTAAATTTGATCCTGGTAACTACCCTCCCTCCAACAAGCATGGAAGCTGATCAGGACCCCCTCATGAGGAATTGTTTCAGGGAGTGTGTATATATATATATATATTATATTTTTACAAATTATACAAGAAATCTTGGCAAGCAAAGAAATCAAAGAAAACTTAGGAAGATGTTCATCGTTTTGCGAAGAGCACTTTTTAGTTGTTTACTTTCTTCTTCCGGATGCTTTTGGCCGACCAACCGCGACGAATGCATGGTGTGAACCGCGCGGTTCGAACCGCCAGCGTCTCAAAAAGCGGGCGTCTTTCACAACCGTTGGCGCACAGACTCTCTGAGAAAACACAGGGATTCTCACAGCCTTACATTCAACCGTCCAGATTGCCCAACGCCTAGATCCACAGAAAGTGTACTTTCGTGGACCTAGCTAGCAGCTAGCTCTTCACTTGGCTACTGTCTACGAGTCTACGCAAACTCTTGAACGGCGCTAACTCTTGAATTTTGTCTATGCTAAGTATTAAATATAGCCTGCGCTAACTATGGCCTGAAGTATTTAATACCTGTCCGTAGCTACGCCTGTTTCTAACTACACTTCCTTTGATAAGATATAGTTCTTCACTATTGTCTCAAGTTGCTAGGCGTGGTGTGCAGCGTGTGCATGGTTTCCTCCGGGCGACAGGTATGAAACACAGGTCTGATGGTCGGAGGAGGGACGAACCCTTGCCCGATGGTGGTCCCGATGGTCGTTGGTGCCCTCACGATGCACGCAGCATTTTGCAACTGATAGTGTCCGCGGAGAGAATCCCTTTTCTCCGAAGACCTGGTCAGTATCCTTGGGCCATGAGACAGATCTCCCTCCTAGTATGGATATGCGTCAAAGCGACAAAACCATGGAAGTAGTGCGAATTTCCTAACTTATTACTTGACATTGACTATAAAATATTATCATACTATATCATATAATATATATATAATATATATAATATATATAATTTAGTTTTCAGGGTCACGCGTGTTTTTTTGTGGTTAGGTAATGTATGTTGAAAAGGTTCTTGAAAACTCCCAATGCTCGCTGAACATCACTAATCACAATAGTAGAACAACAGCGAGAACATCCCACACACACACACACACTTGGAGGCCAACGCTAGTAGGTTGGAGGCCATTGCACACACACCTGCGCCGCCTGCGAAGTCCCTTCTGCCAAGGCTTGGAACGGCAGAAGTCCGTTCCACCCACCTTACCCTCTCTGGAGGGCACCGAGCACCATCCCACCCTGCGGCGGCAGCTCTCCAGAAGCTCCTTGGGCTGACTGGTCGGAAGGAACATGTTGTCAAGAAGATTTAAACATGGCAATAGATTTGCGCCATGGTCTGTTTGATTCTTAAGCCGTCGAAGTGCGACGTTGGTTTGAGGATTTCTTTGGAAAGCCCCGGGTCAGTCTCTCTCAGGCATTTATGATTTCGAGATTTACAGAGATCCTTTGCTCCCAAACTTGTGTGAATACAGTGGTAGTTTCACTTCACCCAAGACGCATCAACCCAAAAACAACCATGATATGTCAGACAGCAGTCTGATTCTTCACCAGTGTAAATGGGCTCAAAGATGTTCGAAGACAGAGTATATAGACATAAAGACATGTTTGATAAAAGGATGGCAGCAGAGCCAGGAACATCGTTCACCAGTGCCGGGGCTGTCGGACCCGTTTTGGCGAACCACATCGCCACGGCCGGACGAGGTGCTACCGAGTCACATCAAAGTCAGAGCCTGCAGCCGGTGGTTGAGGATGCTTAGGCGAGCGGAGGCCGAAGCCTAGGTCCAGCAGGTCTCAAAAAGGGACATTCTGCTGAAGCTCGATGTGTAAAGTGGAGGGCACCCAGCCCAGGAGAACTCATTGAAGACTTGTATTTGAGGTCGATCTTCGAAGAACCGCAGTTGGTGCAATGCTACGGTGATCATGTTATGAACATCCTCAGTTGACCATGGAAATTCACTGGATTCACCTGGTGAAAGCTCAGCGGCGCAGAAGCGCGGCGGCGGTGATACTTTTGGCTCGCTCAGAACTCAGGCGACCAACAGTCGGAACCAACGACTGGCGTGCTCCGACGGTCACAGGACATGTCGTCAGATCTGAGAATGAGTGTCGGTCGCCCATGTTGACTTCACCTACTATCCGTCAGTAACCCTCTTGACTTCACGATCCATATTTGACAATTCAATCATGTTTAACAATATTGAGTTTGTACGAATGGATGAAGAGTTACCCGAACTCCCCAAAGACGCTTGAGTCCCAATTGTACGGAGGTCACAAAACACTGTTTTCAACATGTATGTTCACCGGAGTAGTTCACCTGAGTTCCCCTGCCGTGGAAAGTGCTTTCCCCACTGAATGCCTCGTCCAAGTCGTCCAAGACCAGTAGACCATGCCAGAACAACCGGAGCCGATTCAGAAGCCGTGCTGTCGGGCCGATCGTGCGGTAAAAAAGGGGCCCTGTGGCTGCTGCGCGGTGGGATGATGATCTTGGAGGAGGATTCAGGGCAGAGAGGGACGACGATGAGAAGTACTTCTGGAAGAATCATCAAAAGGACATCCTTAAAGGAACATGTGTTTGATCATGCCACTCCAAGTCCCTGGCTGATCCATACAAAGGAACAGAATCAATCAGACGCCTTAAGGGTCTAGGCTTTTGAAGGATCGAGCATGGATCAGTGACTTGGGGGTGGATTTTTTTGGGGGATCGCTTGATGTTTGAGAGAGTGTCGAGTTGCTTTGGCCTCCAGAAATGTTTTTGAACCATTGTATGGCAGCAAGAGTCCTTTTTGGAGGATGGACCTGAAAAGGGTCCGAGATCCGGCACGATGGTTCTGATGCTTGGGGTGTCATTTTTGGGACACACAGGGAACCAAAAATAAACAATGCGTTTGACCGATTGAGCGGCATTGAACAACAGGCGCCGCTTGAATCTTGACGATCTTTGTTTGTGCGCATTGAAAGGGCATCCCTCTATGGACACTCATGAATCTGGCTTGGCCACAAATTGGACGGAACTCTACTGTATCATATTGTATCTACTTTCCCGCTCTTTAGGGCTGGCAGCCCCACTTCATGCGTCACGCGCATGGTCACACAGTTGCCCACTTCATCGTCCTGCTTTCCCCTCAAAAAGCACATGCATCACGCTCTTGCTCCGGCCAAGGTGGAGTATGAGCTGGCGCGGAAAGAGCCGGGGCTTGAGGCGCACTCCCGAAGCATGTGTGAGGGCTTTTTCTCCGGAAGTCCTTCTGACACTTCGACAGTATCCTGTGTGGTATAAGGTCCGAGTACGATAACCACCTGGAGTAGAGAATCCGTGTATTCTATATGTACATTTAATACTCAGCATATACTACTCATATATACTGTACATGTTGCCAGTCATGGGCTGGGGCTTTGAAGAGCGTTGAATAGCAACTGGAAAGTGGCGTTTGCCTCCAAGGAGATTTGGTTGGTGTTTCCACGGCACAGCTTGGACAACGCTGATTGGAGTACCCGGACATGGGGGCTAAAGCTGTTGATCTTGGAAGTCCGAAGCAGACTAGAAATGGTGACAAGTGAGATCAAATGGCATCAATGAGAGATGCTCTTTGGTGGAAACCAGTGGTTTTCACTTCTTCTTGACTCTTAGAGCAAGTGACTTGAGCAAGTAACGAAGCTCTTCCTTCGTCAGGACTCCCCACTGGTCGTGACCCGTGAAGTTCTCCTCGTCCCAAGGTAGAAGTGAAGGACAGCAGGCCGCCTTTGTCACAAAGAGCCCTTTGTCGCACAGAGACGAAACGAAACAGTCCACCAAGCAAAGTAAGGAGAGGAATTCAGTTTGATGCAACTTTTTGTCATCACTCTTTCTCTCAAACACATGATGACCTCCCAAAATTCTCAGCCAACCAAACATTTGCGTCGAATTCAGGGCAAAACGATCGGGGTATGCAATAAGTAGAAGTATGTGGATTGCCGTTCGCATAGAAGGAGTGTGAATACCGGGCTTGTTTGGGTACCCCCTGGGTTTTTCCCTTTAGGAATGCTTCGCTCGTGGACCCGAGCACAGCCCCACTGTTGTGTTTTGGCAGACTTCTGCACAGCCCGCAATGAGTGAGCCTCCTGAGCCGTTGTAGCAGTTGCAAGAACAAAGACACATCTCCGGGCCACAGCGATAAAGGCACAGTGAGTGATGTAGAGTCTTGATCAGTAAACAAACACGTATGACAATCCAAATGGGGAGCTTCATTAATCAAGAGACTACATTAGGTTGCTCCTTCTAAGCGACTGAGGATGATCCTCCTGAACCTCTACCTGAGGATGGGAAGTGGCGGTGGTCGGGGTCTTGGAAAACGCTGCGCTGTCTCCAGGACTTGGAATAAACGCAAAGATCAATATACAAGCAGTATGGAATCTCTGCTCACGGTTTGCTTCTCTGAGTATATGGAACACCATTGCCTGTCACAAACAGTAGGAGGGTCCACAGCCCCAAGTGGCGCTTATGACAGTACTCGGGACCAGCGTTGATGTTGGCTCTTGGGTGGAAGTGCCGGCACCGAAGTGCCTCGTGCGCACGAGGCTCCTGCGGAGTGATGGAGAAATTGTGGGGCCTTGAGACTTAGAATGGGAGAATGTCGATGACTTCGGAAAGCTTTGGTCAGCTCATGTCAGGTCGAGTGAGTCAATGACTGCTGGTCCTGGCTAGCTCACGGGATCACATTTTTTCCCTTAAAGTGTAACCTACCTGGACTATATGCAAGATTACAAGATCGCACTTCTCTTGTTGGTAGACTGACATTCTTGATCATCTCTTGATCATAGCACGCACATGATCAATGGTTTTGCCCATATAAAGACTCATACAGCATGGGATACTGGAGATGGTCTGCACACGGATGGTCTGGAGAAGCAGTTTAGGTGTCCGTGCCGAGTCCCGAGAAGCGGTTGCACCAAGGCCCAAAGGCGATCGTGGATAATACCATCCGTCAATTGAAAGGTATTTTGGAGTATGTATATAGATATTTATAAACTTTGATATGAATGAACTATGTATATAAATAGATTCAATATGATTCTAGTATATAATGGTCTGTTGCTATGATGTTTGAGTATGATATTATGAAAGATTGTGAACATTTATAGTATAGGTTGTTAACTACATGCATTTTGGAACCAACATATGCTTCCAGGTATGCTGCATTTCATGTAAAGCTTTATTCATAAGGTCAGAGAGGTCAGGGGGTGCTTATTTTTCTCTCGTTTGCCTTTGAGGGGACTAGGGAGATGAGCGCCACTGTGGTGTGTTGTTTCTCCAAAGGCGCACGACAAATGACTGGAGTGTCAACTAGAACCACTATTGATTGTCTTGGTCAAACCATGAGATCGGAAAGCAGACCCGGTGTGAATTGAGATTACTGTAGATGGCCTCATACTACCACAAGACTAGCTGGGTTTGCTGTAAATTGCAGATTGTTAGATCTGTATGAGCAATATGCGTGAAGTGTGCAAGACCTGGTGCCAACATGTGAGTGGCTTTTGTTCAAAGTACCCGCTCCACGCCATCATTGCAACAGGATCCTTCAATAAACTGCAACAATCCCAATAAATCATGCATTTGTCTAAACAAAACCTGGGATTTTTCCCTGCAGCAGTTCATCTCTATTGCGAAAGCCAGCCGATAGGATAGGCTGAAGTTAGTTTATGCGAACAAAATGAGTTTTTATGGGGTGTGTGGGAGGGGGCAGGGTAAACTGGACCTAAATCACTTAAAAGAGGTGATTTCTTGTGGGTTGGTGATGCAGAAGATGCAATATGACACATGTGTGTATTAGATTTTAGTACGTTTTGTGTCATTTGCCGAGCGCCCGCGGTAAAATCACATGCTGATTCCTCCTGGCTTTCGTCCCTCTTCTCAGGCTTGACTGTGGCGGAACGGTTTGTCAGGGACTCTTGCCTAATCATTATATACATTCTTCATTGTGCTCTCATGGATGGCTTCCAACACACATTTCCTACTTTTGGTCAATTGGTCCACCCGCTCCATGAATTATTGACCACATCCGTCCTATGGTTTTCCACTTTTGGGCTGGTGTCCCTTTTGGAGCGCATGGGCCTGCCTTGCTCTCGAGCTCGCTACCCGGTAAAGAATAAGGGTGTCCACTTCACCGTTGCCCTCTACACTGAGTCAACCGCTGGCTGGTGTCCCATGTTGTCCCGCTTCTTTCCCACTATTTTCCCTACCTTTTCCCAGTTCCTTCCCAACATCATCCCACAGTTTTCCAACTTTCTGGAATAGCATGGAATAGCCCTTGGAGCTAAAACCACAATTATTGCTGTAATCATTTGTAAAAGCTCAAATCAAACCAAGGTCACTGATACCCAAACATCTCTCATCAAACTCCCAGTGCCATTCCACAGTGATTCAAATGAGAAGACTACAGGTTTTTGGATGTACATACGATACGGATTTCAGTGTTGAAGAAGCCATTTGAAGCACCACATGATGTATTTTGAGGATATATAATATACCCCCTGCAAATAGGATATCAGAGACACCAGAGCCTGCAATAATTTGCGCTCAGAGCTTGATCTGGCTACAAAAGATCAATACCTTTAACCACCAAACATTAAACAGTATCCCGGCAAGAGACCCCAAACAGTGTGTGTGTGTGTGTGAGGTCTAGAGGTGTAGCTGCAAAATGCCTAGAGATCTAGTAGGCATTGGGGTCCAGAGAGGTGATGGTGAGTGTGAGTGAGATTGAGAGTGAGTGAGAATGAGAGTGAGTGTGAGTGAGAGTGAGAGTCAGAGTAGAGTGAGAGTGAGTGAGTTTGAGCGTGAGTGAGAGTGAGCGTGAGCGTGAGCGTGAGCGTGTGTGAGTGAGAGAGTGAGAGTGAGGGTGAGAGTGAGCATCTGAGAGCACAAAGTGCTGCATCTGCCACAAGAAGATCTGCACTTTGAGGTTCACAAAGTGCTGCGCCTGCCACGAAATCTGCACTTCGAGGCTCACAAAGTGCTGTGCCTGCCACGAAATCTGCACTTTGAGGTTCACAAAGTGCTGTGCCTGCAACGAAATCTGCACATCGAGGTTCACAAAGTGCTGTGCCTGCCGCGAAATCTGCACTTTGAGGATCACAAAGTGCTGCGCCTGCCATGAAATCTGCACTTTGAGGCTTACAAAGTGCTGTGCCTGCCACGAAATCTGCACTTCGAAGTAAAGCCGCTCTGATCCCTTGCGCCTGTCACGAAAAGTCGACTTTGCACCACCAAACCACGAGCCTTCCCTTGCGCCTGCCACGAAAAGTGACCATTCCGAAAATGCGCACGGCACCCCAACGAGAGCGCGGTCGCGACAAGCACCCACCGTGGCCCAGCAGATTTCGCGAGCCTGCACAGTCAAAAAATGCACTTAGAGGATTTCGAGGGGCATGAATGTACTGTAAATAGCAGCGAATTAGCCGGACACGTCGGCGCAACACCTCGATTAGACACAGGTGCTTAACCATTACCGTCAGAACCCCGGCGCACTGTTCGGGGAAAGAAACACACAAGGAAACGCCAGGGGTTCTTGGCAATTTCGTAGTGATCAAAAAGGCTCATGTATAATTTACCGGGTTGCACGACGGCGGCTCCTCCATTGCATGAAAGCACTCAGCTTGCAAAAATCAGACCAAACTTGTTCGAAAGACACTGTGGACGAAAGCCGTTACGAAAACTGTTCAGTGCGAGGTTATCTAGTCCATGCTGTGACTCCAAACAGGGCGTCCAATGAATTCAGGGAATGGGGAGCCCAACGTGAATGCTGGTTGTATTCATATTGCATTCACACCTCAACAGTTGTATGCCAAAAAATGCCATGAGTAAACAATTTGTTTTTTGGAGCTGTCATGAAAACAACTGCCATGTGTCACTGTCTGCACTTTCTTGACCTGCGCCTGGTGCAACAGGTGTAACAGGGCACAATATGGGTGCAGAATTGATTAAGCCCTACACAGCAGACTCTCAAGTTCAACTTTTGGGCATTCAACGATTCCAACGTTTGATGAAGGGGTACTGTAACTCTTGAATGAGCTGCAACTTGCAAAATTTGACAAAACAAGTCTGTGGCGAAAATTTATGGGAATGCGGGTGGAAATTTGCAGAAACATGGCAGGCGCGTGCGGACTGGAGATTTGCAGTTTATTGAACACCTGACAAACACTTGCTTGACCAGGCTGTATTTTTGAAGCCCAATCCTTTGCAGAAACCTGAGAAAGTTTTATCCCAGTGAATTTGAAGACACCCCATCATAACATTTATGTAATGTGTTCGTAAATATCGCATTTTTGTTCCAGCATGGCACGTTTTCTTGCGTTTTGACATCTATGTGTGTTTGTTGTTTTCTTGAGGCATCTCCTCTCCTCTCCTCGCCTCGAGAGAGGAGAGAGGAGAGAGGAGAGAGGAGAGAGGAGAGAGGAGAGAGGAGAGGAGAGGAGAGAGAGGGGAGGAGAGGGGAGGAGAGAGGAGGGAGAGAGGAGAGAGGAGAGAGGAGAGAGGAGAGAGGAGAGAGGAGAGAGGAGAGAGGAGAGAGGAGAGAGGAGAGGAGAGAGGAGAACGAGGGACTCTTTTATTGACAGTGCATTCATGCCTCTCAGAAGAGGAATGAGAAGAATTGAAGTTAAAACGCTGAAAAAGCGATAGGTTTTGAGGCAGAGGAGGAGAAGAAAAAGGAAGAAGAAAGG